ATCTTTCTGTTTGAAAAAATGTTTCCCTTGATATTAAACATGAAGAACTAGATCCAGAAGGCCGGTACATCATTTTAGAATGTGAAATCAATAATAAGTTATTTACAATAGCCAACATATACGCACCGAATAAATCTACAATACATTTTATCGCAAAAGTCCTCAAGAAGATAGAACAGATTAAACAAGGACTGGTACTATTAATGGGGGACTTCAACTGTGTAATTGATCCCGTGAAAGATAGGAAGAGCCAGAAAGATTGAAAGAATAAGATAACACGTGGAAATAGATTGCAAAATGTATTGAACAACTACAATTTGAGTGATATATGGAGAACATTTCACCCTTCAGACTTAGACTGTACATGTTACTCTAGAACATACAATTCTTATTCTTGAATTGACCTTATGCTGGGAAATGTGACCATGCTTCATCTGATTAAAAAAATAGAGATAAAAGATAAAACATGGTCAGATCATGATAACTTTCACGAAGATTGGTGCTTAAAGGATTGCACACTACATAAGAAGAATAATGTGGATGAGATTAAAAAAATAACTAACCTTTTTTTCTTAGAAAATAAAACTAAAGGCACACCAAGAGGTCATATAATAAAAATGGTATCCACCGAAAAAAAGAAAGGAATACCCCCTCTAGCTAAGTTATATATAGTTATATATAACACTAACCGACTGTAAAAAACAAAATAAAACAACACCCTCCATACAAACAGCAAGGAAAATTGTAGAAATAGAAAAACAGATAAATGATCAGTTAATGGATGAGGCAGTCAAGCAGTTAGAATCCCTACAATCAAAATGGTATTTGAAGGGTAATAAACCAGAAGCACTAATGACCAATAAAACCAAAAAAGAAAAACACAAAAGAGCAATATACAAAATAAAGGATAAAGAAACTTATCTATTGACCCCAGAAAAAATAGGAAAAGCATTTGGAAAATTCTATCAGGATCTATATAATTTACCAGAAGAAACATATGGTAAAGAAGAAGAAATAGATACATTCTTCCAAAATATACATATGCCAAAAGCTGTACCTGACCAATTAAAAAGGATAAATCAACCGATAACAGAAATAGAGGTTAGCAAATCAATAGATAAGCTTAAACCAAAGACTGCACCAGGCCCAGATGGTTTTACTACTAAATGTTATAAATTAATGAAAGAGCAATTAAAAGGAGAACTCGTTAATATTTATAATTATATAATGAGAACAGGACATTGTCCTGGAGAGTTGCTGAGAGCAAACATAGTTCCCATCACAAAAATAGACAGAAATTCAGAGACGATCAGTAACTATAGACCGATTTTGTTAATTAACACTGATATTAAAATCTTCTCTTCTATTCTGGCGGAAAGGCTAAAAATAGTTATACCACAATTAATTAACAACGATCAAGTGGGGTTTATACCAGAGAGGTCACCCATCAACAATCCCAGAAAAAGAATTAATATATTAAAAGAAACAGAAAAAAATAAAACAGAAAGCGTTTGATAGGGTGGGTTGGGGTTTTATGTTTGCGACACTAAAACAACCTGGAATCACGGGTTCAATACTACAAGCGATATCAGCCTCCTACACAGATCCATCAGTAGAGGTTATAGGGTCAGGATTCACATCACAAAATATCAATATAAAAAATGGGACAAGACAAGGTTGCCCAGTTTCTCTGCTATTGTACATAATGGTTTTAGAACCCTTAGCAACTTCAATAAGACAAAACAAAAAATTAAAAGGCTTTACCAACATTTCTGGACAAGCAAAGTTAAATATATATGCAGATGATATTCTATTAACATTAGAAAATCCTGAAATCTCGGTCCCAGAGTTACTGAAGGAAATATAAATATACTCTAAAGTCTCAGGATACAAAATGAACCTAGAGAAATCAATATATACTGTTAAAATATGGATTAAACAGTAACCAACTTTCTTGTACAAAATATAGGGCTTCCTGATAATAAGGATAGACTAAGTTATTTAGGCATAATCATAACTCCAGATTTAAAAGATCTAATCAAAGCTAATTTTCGACCCTTAGTAAAACAAACCAATAAAAAAACTAAAGGATTGGAAAGGACTAGGCTTTTCTTGGTTAGGTAGAATTAACATTCTAAAAACATACATTTTACCAAAATGCCTATACTTATGGAGAATGATACCTCTTAATTTCCCAGAAAATTGGTTAGCGTTATTTAATTCATCGTTCTGCAAATTTGTATGGGCAGGCAAAAAATCTAGAGTGAAAATGAAAAATCTAGCTTGGTCAAAGCAAGATGGAGGTCAGGGGTTTCCAGAAATTATGCAATGTTACCTGGCTAGCAGACTCTTCCACATTTTGCTCACCCAAAATTATACTTGAAAACTAGAGAAATCTCAATGTATCTTTCCTGGTAAAATTGTTTATAAATAAATAAATATGGCAACCAAAGAAACTTGGTACAATATGGAAAAAATGAAAACATGGGTAAAGAATTTGTCCTCATTATTTTCGGTTCTAGATCTGCATAAAAAAGTGATTGAAGATGCACCGAGCAAATCACAGATACTTAAAGAGCTAATGAGCTGGTGGGATAAAATCACATTCAATTTAGGATTTAGAAATAAAATAATAGAGGTGCTTCCATTCTCTATGATTTCAGACATGCTGGAAAATATAAAAATAGACACCTTGAAAACCAAGGGGATTAGGGAATTCAAAAATATTGTAATGGAGAATAAAATTAAACCCTTTGGGCAAATCATGGAGGAATTCAGCATCTCCAGTAATGAAACCTTCAATTATCTGAGAATCAAGGGCTTAATTTCAGAATATTTATCCAAGAACAAGGAGGTGAAAAATATAAAACTCTGACATCTTCTTGAACTAAAGAATTATAAAAACCTATTGGCAAAATGCGCTAAAGTTATATTTGGATGGAGACATGATAAACCAATAGGATTGATCAATAAATGGGAAAAAGAACTACCAAGTATCCATAGAAGAAGAAGAATGGCTAAGTTCCCTAAATAAAGTATATAAACATATACATTGCCTAAATCTCACAGAAACACAATTTAAACGTGTTAATAGATGGTATTTGACACCTAAATTTAAATAAAATCTTTCCAGAGGCATCAGACAGGTGTTGGAAATGCAATGTTAATGAAGGTAATCTGATTCACTGTTGGTGGCATTGTACTCCTATAAGTCAATATTGGAAGGATGTAATGAATGCAATTTATCAAATAACAGGAATGAAAATTGAGCCGGAAGTAGTTTTATTAAACCTAAAGTGGCCCAAAATGCCCAAAAAGTACAAATGGTAACAGTACATATCATTACGGCAGCTAAACTTCTTTTAGCCCGTAATTAGAAAACCGTGACAATTCCGCACACCCATGAATTAATAACTCAAGTTATATGGCAAGCGAAAATAGAAAGGGGTATACTGACGAACATAGGAAACAGATGCATTCAGATAGAGGATTTGAACACATGGATAAATAAATTGGAATCTATAATTTAACAACCGCCATAATGGTGTAAAAGTTCCTATGGGTCCCGAAGATCCCATTAAAACGGGCATTTAAAAAAATAAATTAAAAAAAGGATGAAAAAATAAATCATATTACACCACATATAATGGTGTGTTCTCTCTCTCTCCAAGGACAGGCAAGTAAAATAAATCAATAACTAAGAATCTATAACAGGAAGCTAGATACTGTAGGGGGGGTGTTGGGGTGGGAAGAACTAGAGCTTAAGCCCACTACCTCCTCTGTCTCTTCTCCTCTTATACCCATAAACCTTTTAAACAAAGAAGAGAACATATTAAATACAGAGATGAGGAATGGGGTTAGACAATAGGGAACAAGGGAGGAGATATTTATGATGACAAGAATACCTAGGCTAGAAACAAGAAGCACCAGATAAAATATGTAAGCTAGGTATATGTCTGAAAAAGAAAAGAAAAAACAAAACAAAAAACCTTTATTCACTTATCTGATTCACTTACCTAATTCATCCTCTGACATCCAGGAACCTAATGCATGCCCTTTAGGGGCTTTCCTATCGGGTTTTTCAAGATGCTGTACATCAAGCATGTCAAACTCAAAGGCTAACATGGGCCAAATAAACAAGGTTTATGTTTATGTGGGAGCGCAAAAAAACAAAAACTTCAGTTTTCATTGAAACGTAGGTTTATTTAGAAAAGTACAGTATAAAAATGTTGTCTAACTGACACTGAACGTCCTCACACTCGTAGGGCTTCTGTGGCGGACCACAAGTAAATCACCCCCATAGTAAAATAGCTCCAACCAGTTGTGTAAATAGTTATTGTCAGTTGTCAGAATATTTATATCGGCTGACATCTTGTGCTAAGATAGAAATTAAAAGTGTCTACTGCCAGTTACACTTAAAACCAAGCTGACTCCATTTTGGATTTTTGATAAAAATTTCTGTCTAACTCCAGTCATTAAGCATGAGCTAAAGAATGCGTTATTTAAACAAGGCAAGTGATAAGGAATGAAGTCTCACAGCAAGAAGGGGGATGGAATACTCTTCTTAAAATTTAATGGAATAGAAATAATTTTAAACCAGATAACAGTTATAGATAACACTTACTAATTAATTTTACTTTCTAACTCTTACAAGGTCCCATTGTAAGAAATGAGGTGAAATTAAGGATAGGAGGTGTCAATTCTAGAATTACAACACACATTATAGACATGAAGTCTGGTGTGAGCCTTTGAAGCTGACAGCAAATTTGAGTTATAGTGGCCATTTAGATAAGCTGAAATTACGTCAAAATCGTCATCAAAATTAGTTAACTCTTTCCAGGACAAGAAATTTTGGTGATGTAAGGGTGCCATCTACTGACCAAAATTTAGATGGTGGTCTGTGGGTTTTCCCCACCTTCAGTTCCCTATTTGCCAGATCAACTGACGTGCAGAGAGTCTGGCTCTTTAAAAAGTGAGAACAAAGGGAAGAGAGACATTCAGAGAGATTCAGGACACTCTGGGACTTACACTCAACTCTCAAACTCTCTTGGACACAACTCAAGAAACACTTCCTGGACACTTAGAATTTTACTATTACTTTCTAACCAACACCACTTTCTCTATCACATGCACACCTCCATACAATCATCACTCATACTTGCATTCAAATTCCTGGGACTATCTAATCATCGGATAAGATCATCTGATGAGAACATCTACAACATAACTGGTAATTATGCTGGCTTTATTTAATTAATCTAAATTAATTAAAATTTTACATAGCAGGAATATATGCCTGGATAAATTGTCAGATTTCAGCTTAGAAACCTTAGTTAACTAATGAATATATGGTTATAAAAATTCCATTACTGCAGGTGGAATTAACATTAACGGTATATTTACGGTATTATTTACCAACAGGTTAGCATGACACATGTTATCCAGAAATATTGACTTGCTCTGATATAAGATAGAAAATCTTATGTAGGGAAATTAAAATTCGGGTAAGAAAAATCTGGTAGATGATTCTTATTGGATGGTTCTAGGAATGGTGTGATATGAACATTGTTTAATTGAAAATTGCAATAGAATAGGATATCATATGCCTAGGAGGATTCTAGCAAGCATTGAAAGAGTTAATCAGTGTGGTCTAACTGTCAGCCAAAGTTTTTATGGCTACTCGCTGCACTGTTGTATTCTGTGGAATTCTGTGTTCTGTATGAAGTTGTTTGCTAAATTGTCATAAATCTTGACAAGTTTTTGACAACTGGATTGCTGTAGCCATTGTACTGTGTTTAGCCATTGCCATTGTACACGATGTTATACCTAAATATTCACTGATTATTATTACGCATGTTACATATTATTATTATTTTATTATATTGTCACAATAAATTCTATTTTTATAAAGAAATTGTGATTTGTTGTATGGAGTAAAAATACGCATAATGATCGTTCTCTAGAATCTAAGAGAATTAAATAGTGGGTAATTCTCAAGATATCAATTTTGATGTAATAAAAATTATTAAATTTAATTTTAATAATTTTAATGAAAATATTATTTTTAATATTTATCACCCCATAAATATCCCCACACTTTACAGCATTCCCCTCACACATTAGTCAAGACATAATGCTGGGAGTAGATCTGTTTAATGCAGGCAAAGTTTCAGAATTTATACATACAGTAAAGTCCTTCCCTGTGCCTGAGAGATAATTGAGTCAGGAACTGTACAAACTCAATTATCTCCAGTTACAAAAAAAGTATAACAGTTTTTAAACACTCCCAAAGTACCTCCAAAATACATGGAATCCCCTCAAGAGTCACAACCCTGGATAACCCTGATCTGAGTGACTATCGTATCCAAAAAACACTCAGATCGGTTCGGTGGTTTGAGATTGTCATCGAGGTAAACTTTTTGACCGTCCATCCACGAGCTAGAAGCCCAAAATAGTTCCAGAGGAATCTTGGCAATCGGCAGTCTCCGTTCGCAGACTTCCATATGAAAACCACACAAATTATTTCAAGTGTCGAATGCTCAAATTATTCGGTAGTTTGTATCTCCTGAACGCCATTCATATGGGTGGTTGGGAACTTGAACAGGCAGCAGATCCATCTTCACTGGTGTTTGCGGGAGTGCCTAGCCAAAATCAGTTCGAGGCACTCAACGACCAACTACCGCTGCCTGTATTCGGGAGACAAGATGGCCACCATCTATTCTGTTAACCACGTGCGTTCAGCTGTACGAAATGGCGGCCATCCAGGAGAGCATTCATTAGTTGTTTCCCTTGTGGTTTCGCACTTGTTAATGGACGGTTCTAACATTCTAATAAGCTATGGGGCTGGTCCTCATAAGGTTACAGAAACAGTGAGTATATCGAGGGAATGATAGCATTCAAAGAGGTAAAAGGTACTAGTAGTGTTAGTGATGGGACATTCATTCACAGCTTCAAAGTAAACAAAAAAGCTAATTTATTTTAAGGAGATGTGCATTTGCATATAACCAATGTTTCAGTCCAACTACCTTGACATATTAAGAAACGTTTGTTAATAGGACTGAAATGGTGAATGTATGCTGTTGCATAGCTGTAAAAAACAAATGACGCTATCTTGTTGATTGTGAAGTCCTATGAGTGTGTTCTTCACTTTGGCTGAGATCATCAAACTTGATGATCTCAGCCAATCCTATGCTTTCCCATAGGAAAGCATTAGTAGGCTATTGTGCATATGTCCCAAAAAGCTGCACGGCCAATCAGCATCTCCATGGCGAGCGTTCAGTGCCTCCATGCAGACACAATCTAATACATTGCCCCTCCCCCATTCTAATACGCATTAACACTACTCTAATTTAATAGAAAGAATACAAAGATAGGTCAGCGCTAGATAACAGCAAAGATAATAATACTGTGAGTCTTATTCCAGATGTGCAAATTGTCACATATAGGATAGTCTATTATTCAGAAGATAGGTTCAACTGTTGTTCCTTATACTGGGGGGTCTTGTTGTCTTGGGTCTTCGTATGTGGGTGAGAAGAAACACAGAAAAACCTAATAGTGCAGTAAGCCAGGCTAAATAGGCCTGTAGTTAAATAATAGCATTGCACTCACATTTGAGAGAGATATTGCCAGCTCTAGTATGAATCGCCTATAGTGGTATAAACCCCACTATTTAGAATATGATGGTGGTGGGTCTTGACTGGTAGTTGTCTGGATGTTCAAAGACAAAAAAAAAAAACACAGATAGTACTCTCAGTAAGACAGAGGTAATTGTATGAAAATAAAAGTTCTACTTACAGACATAGAGCAGGCTCATTGCTCTGTGGTGCCAGCGTTGGTGGTATAATCCCCATTTATGGATGTACTTGGGAGTAGTAGTAGATGAATAATCCTAAATAGTGGGGATTTTTACCACCATAGGCGATTCATACTAGAGCTGGCAATAGCTCTCGCAAATATGAGTGCAATACTATTATTTAACTACAGGTCTATTTAGCCCTGGCTCACTGCACTATTAGGTTTTTCTTCTCACCCACGTCCAGAGATCCAAGACAACTAGACCCTCCAGTATAAGGAACAGTTGAACCTATCTTCTGAATAAGATACTATCCTATATGTGACAATTTGCACATCTGAAATAAGCTTCAAAGTATTTACTTTTATTTAATTTTATTTCCTTTTTTATAAAACTTTTTTATGATATTTTACTGTATTTTGTTTAATTACATGTGGCGCAGCCCTTATCTGTCTTTTACTTTTTCTAATTTAATACACTGCCCTTCCACCCTCCCCCCAATTGAATTCACTGCCCAACTCCCTCCCCCAATTTATTTTAAATTCTTTATTTTACTTGCGCATAGGTATTACAGACAGGCTGGCAATGCCACAATAGCTAAAGCTAACCACGCGAACCACACAAAAGAAACATTAGTCTGGCATGCAAGGTCATAGCACATTTTTATATAACAAAATAAGTCGCTTATGTCATAGGTACTGCACAATATGCTTTACAGTAAAAAAAAAGAACTACATGAGACAGTGTGGCATGTGAGAAAAGAAACTGAATATCACAAAACTGAGGAACACATGCCTTGGCTACTAAAGATCCATGAGCCCAACCATATGCTTGGCCAATCAGTGGAGCAGGATGATAAAAAGAAAACATAAGGAAAGCAAGTCAAACATGAAGAGACACCTCCTGTCCCCACCTAGAGACCACTCAACCCCCTCCACCAGCAGGACACAGTCCTTTCAAACAGACATGATTCCTCCGGCATGCCGCCAGACTGTCACCCAGGTAGTAAAACTAGTTGCTGCAGAGTGTATTCGGGTCATCCCCTTGTAGTTGGTATAGAGGAGTCCTCCAGTTATTCTACTCATATTTTATAGTGGCACAGCTGTAGGGCACCAAGCGCTCTCTGTTGTGGGCCTGTGGTGTCAATTGTTAGCGCCTGGGTCATACCATTAGAGCCGCAGGTATGCCAAGTGCTGGTTCCATGGTGGTCCACAGAGGGCGCCAAGACCCCCGAGGGAGGCCGCCTTCTTCACAGCGTGCTCGAAGTTTAGAGCAGGCGTCACCGCCATCTTGAGAGGTGAGTGTTATCTGGGCCCCAGGGTGGACTGGGATCAACCCCCCCACCCCGCCCCCAAAGGGCTACAATCTTAAGGGGAAAGTGCTTGCCAGAACACTTAAATGAGACGAACTAGTCTGGGTGCCTATAGTTTCCCTTTAACTAAAAGTAAATGTTAAAATTAAAAATTAATATATCTTACTGTACACAAACACCTTCCAATTGATTAGATGCCACTATCATTCAATTAAGGAATGAAATTATATAGTATCATGTATTAAAAGTACTTATTTCTGCAACAATATTACCTCTATAGTAATTTAAAAATATATACTCTAATATATACAAATTGACTAGTATTTTTAAGATATAGCGCACATAAAATTGGCTAAAAATAACTTGCTGGAGACATTACCATAGAACCTATAGCTATACTATGTTAAAGCAAGTCAATATTATAAATATCAGCATATTGCTCTTTTAATTATAGCCATATGCTTATGGACACTAAAGAGAGTGCTTTATCAGCAAGTATCAGAGAATAATGGAATATGGATTGAGCTTTACTGTTTCCAATTAAAATTCACAGCAAGCAAAGGCATCATGTTGTCCTGAGAGAAAATCGTCCTCATTTGAATTTAGTAAGATGGTGAAAAGTTTACAATTTACATCTTTCAATTATTGCTTGTCATTTGAAAACTCAGTTTTCTATTTCTGAAGATGTTAATTAATGCAAAACCATAGGGAGGTGTTGTTAACATGTAACCTAAAATATTACATTTTAAATTGTATTATAGCAATGCAATGACATCCTTGTAATTATGTGTGTAAGTTGTGATTGTAATTATTGGATACATATGGTCTTTTGAAGAGAAGGAATTTTTTTGCGATGCTATCATTCAAGCTACTAAAAAAGGGAATGATGTCAAGGAGAGCACAGATATGGTCATACATTATAGGCTTTTCTTGTCAATCCAAATGTTTGTACAAATATGCAAATGGTTCATGTTAGGTATATCACACTGAAATCAGCCAGACTATAGAGGTTTCACATGTTTTATGTAAAGGTCTACATCATGGTCATTGGAAAAATATTCCTTGGGATACTGAGAATTTATTTGAAAAAATCTGCCCACTCCTCTT